TTCTAAATAGGAGGGTGGTCCTGGTTACACGCCAGTATCTCAACTGAGACTGTTCATGAACCAAAGTCAGAGCCAAAGCAAATCAGAATGGTTCCACCAATGCCTACAGCTCAGCTTTGAACTACCTCCATCCCTGGTTGATGAAGTTCCAATATTCTGCCTTCCAAAAATAAATCTTTGGTAGAGGAGCTTTTCAGATTTTTCCTACATAGTATCTGGTACCCTACCAATAATTGCCATATATGACAAGAAAAAAAGAATAAAAACCAAAATGAACAGGAGGACAATGGAAACATGCACACATGTCCAAGATGTCCTAGTTATTAGATAGAACCTCTAGAATAGCTATGATTAATATGATCAAGATATACATGACAGAGTGGAGGCTTTCACTGCAAAGAAGGCTTTAAAATAATCAAATAGATCCTACGGGGGACATATAAACCAAAACCACAATAGAATGACAGTGCACATCACCCACTAAGATGATTATAACAAAGGCAGCAAAAGTGCTGATGAGGAGGTGGAGTGCCAGAACTCCACACTTTGGTGCTAATGATATCGCAGGGTGCTGTGCACTTTGGAAAACATGGCAGTCCTGCAAAAGGTTAAATAAAATTCCCATACAATGCTACAGAACTTCTAGGTATATAACCAAGAAAAATTAAAATATATCAGCACAAATAATTTACATAAATATTCATAGGCAACATTATTCATAATAGCCCCAAACTGGAAAAAACTCAGTTGTCCATCAATTTATGAAGGAGTGAATGTTGTATGATCATACAGTGAAATATTGACAATAAAAAGGAATAAAGTTGTGTTTATTGTGATTTTTGTAGTTGTGTTTAACTACAAGCCACAGTGGTGACTTTCTATAGCCATGACTAAAAGTTAGATTCAGGTGTCAATTAGGAGATAAGAGGTACAACCAAAATGAGTAAAACATAAATTTATTATTCCTGGATCTCAAGAAGATTAGAAGTGCTGGCAGGAGGCTAACAAATGTGGTGAGATCAGGAAACTTAACCAGTAGGCAAGACAGAGGCAGGAAGGAAGGAAATTGGGGCCAAAGTGATGGTTCAGTGGTTGAGAATACTTGTTGCTCTTGCAAAAGACCTAATGTAAGGAAAAAGGGCCAGCCAAAGAAGCACACCGTGAGCAGAGCCAAAAAAAGACACTTTGGCCCTGCAACCAGAACCAAAGAAATGTACTCTGACCCTGAAACCAGTGCAAGAAACACATTTTTGTCTCTGGAATCAGAGTCAATGAAAGAAATACACCCTGGCCCTAAAACTAGAGCCAAAAGGCTAAAAAGGACCAGTGAAAGAAACCCACTTTGGCCCTGAAACCAGAGCCAAATCTGACCCCAAGCCTATGCAGAAAACTAACCAATCCCTGAGCAGGAGATCTAGCCAATCTGAGTTCATGGATTGAAATCTGACCAATCCCCACCCCCTGGAAAAACTCTGCCCCCTAAGAATCCCTATATAAACCCTATGTCTGTTCAGCTTATAGCCATAAGCTGAACAGACATAGGGTTTATATAGGTCCTCTGCCACTCTTCCTGGATTCTTCCCTCCCAATAAACCCCTTGGACGAGCTTTGGGTGAAGACCTTCTTTTGCAGAGGATCAGAGACATCTGACCAATCCCCACCCCCTGGAAAAACTCTGCCCCCTAAGAATCCCTCTCCAAACCCTGGGCAGAGCAGAGAGAGCAGGGCTGTAACACTTTTGCCAAGGAAACTTTCCTTTGGCAGAGTAAGTTTCCACTATCCGCTCTCCAGGGAGCAGAATTGAACTGTAAAAACTTCGTAAGGAAACCCTTTGCTGCAGGAGCAGAGCTGATACACTGGGGAAGCCTCCCCTGAAACAGGGCTGTAAGCTGCTACACTTACTGTGACCTGTAGTATTCCTTGGCTCCCGAGCTCCAGGTTACCTTTCCACCTAAGCTGTGTAACACTCAGTATTCTGAGACAAAATACCTGTCCCACCCAATCTGCCCAAAATGCTTACACCTAGGATTGGTTCTAGCACCCACATGGTAACTTGCAATCATCTGTAACTTGTTCCAGGGAACCTGATGTCCTCTTCTGGCCTTCTTGGGGACATGGTACACATATATACAACACATATATACAACACACATAAATATTTTTAAAGGAAATTAAATCTTTGGTGCTGTGTTTGTTAAAACATGTTCATGGTCATGTTTTAGACTTCACTGAGGAGTTATGTGTAAGCCCCTTGAGCCACACCTGTCATCAGACCCCTTCCCCCACAGAACACTCTAACTGCCCTAACTGCCGGACCCTGCCTGCTCCACCCCCCACCCCCGTGGAATAATCCTTTTATTCCCTGTGAAATTTTATCACTCAGATTAATAAGATGGTGGCTGGAAGTGTAGGCAGGACAACCAAACTAGGAGAATTCTGGGAAGAAGGGCAGAGTCGGAGGAGTTACCAGCAGATGCAGGGAGAAGCAGAATGAGCATGCTGTACTTCGAAAAGGTACCAAGCCATGTGGCAGAGAATAGATAAGAAATAAGGGTTGATTTAAAGGTAAGAGTTAGCTACTAACAATTCTGAGCTGTTGGCCAAGCATTTATAAATAATATAAGCCTCAGTGTGTTTATTTAGGAGCTGCTGGTGGGACAGAAACTTGTGCCTGCACACCCACCACCACCACCACCACGGAGTAAAAAGCCTGATCTTTGAACATGAAAAACCACCAATCTCTACCCAGGAAAGGTCTGCCCCTACTCCACCTCCTTCCCAAGAAACTCAAATACAAGTTTTGTATACTGCTCAGTTCTCTGCTGTTTCTCACCTAAGCAGTGACAGCCTCCTCGGTTTTTTCCCATCCCAATAAATCTGACATGAGGTTTGTTGTTTGGTGTGTCTGTGGCATTCCTTGGCTCCTGGCTGCCAGGATATCTTTCCATCTAAGCTGTAATGCTTACAATTGCTTCCATGACTCGGATAGGATCTCCTAGTGCCCACATTTCCCCTCATGGTCTACTCTCCACTGGGACCCTATCCCTCACTCCAGTCCACCTGCGATGGACTCACCTTCCAGCTCACTGATCAGCTCCCCATCCACCAGCAGCAATTAGGTAAGTTTCCCCTTTAGTCAGTGTAAGTGTTTCCCCGAGTCTGAGGAAGTCTGAGTAGTGCCTGGCACCCCTCTGGTACTCTTGGAGGCAGAGGTACCCCCAGCCAAGGTCTTTAAAGCTATGGCTGGCCTTCTTCAGCTAGCCCCCTCCCACCCCCCTTGGAGTTGCAATCCTATAGTTTCCCTAGGCCAAACCAAGCTATTGTGCCCCTTCCTGATCTCTTCTTCCTCTTTCCCCCTAGAGCTTCCCGCAGCCCCACAGCTCTTGTAGGCCCTCATGGCTTTGTGACCCCCATCCCCAACCCTTTCCTGTAGATGCCACCCCTCCGCCTAGAGCTCAGTTTTTGTTTTCCCCTCCTCAGCTCTGTGTGAAAGCCCTGGTACCAGGCACCGAGTCTCTCTGCTGGCTTAGCCAGACTAAGCCCCTGACCCTCTTGAGTCTGGTGATGACCCACTCAACAGCTTGGGCCTCATTCATTCCTGCCTGAATCCTGGGTACGCCCACAACTGTAAGCTGCAGTGACTTTTTCCTTTTCTCTCATCCATGTGAACATGACTTCCACACCCGCTCATCCCCCCCTTGGGATGCCTATTAGAAAACCTCCAGCCTTTCCACCTGACACCCAACCTGAAGGGCCCTAAAGTTATTCAGTTTTGCAGTCAAATTTGGCATCAATACCCTTAGGTAATCAATACAAAGAGCCACCTACCAGCACTTTGGATCCTAATATTTTATTATTTTGAACCTTTACAATACTGTGAATGATCAGATATGGAGATTCCTCATTCCCTATTTGTTGTCTCCAAGCCCTGTTTTTGTCTAGTCCCTACATCCCCGTCCACCCCACACACTGTGTAAATATTCTGTCTTTTAAGTTACCATAGATGAATCTGTAAGTTTATTGCAAAGTGCCAGGAAGACCAAGGGAAGGAAAGCCACACCTCCAGCTTCACTTCCATCCGCCTGAAGCCACACCCAAAGGCCACCGTTACAGGTTCACAGACCAAACTCCTACACTCTGTGCTAGGGGTGAGACATAGCAGGAGGGGGAACAAGTAAAGGAGTAGGCCAGCAGTAATATACACACACCCCTGCACACACTCTTCACTGGCTGATGCTTCTCTCAGCTCCCTCCTGCAGCATCCCTTGTCTATAGCCAGGCCTCAAAAATTTCCTATCTCTAAGCCTTCCTTGTTCTCAGCTTACTAGATTGAGTTTACAAGGATTCTGGTATCGTTCAGGTGTGAGTAGTTTTAGACTGTTGTTTTATGCTGTCCCACTTGAATTAAAATCTGGCTGTAGAATTAGGGTATGGCTCCCCCTCCTCTAGACTCAAGCATGCTTGTTTAAAGGTTTCTTCTAAAATCTCTTTCCCATATCAGTCAAGCCATCTGCTATGTGACAGAGAAAGGAGAACAAAACAAAATAAAGGGACAGACTATTCCTAATAGGGACGATCGCTGCACATCTCATACTCTTTTGGTTTAATGCTCTAAAACTTTTGCTAAGGTATAAATTGTATCTCAAGATTTATAAAGCTATTTTGTGAACTTGCTGTACCTCAAGATTTGTAAGCATATTGGATCTGATTAAAACCCTGTAAAATCTGTAACAAAGGGTTCATTTAAAACTAATAACACCATGAGTGATAGTTAAAAATCTATAGCTAGGTAAACTTAAAGGAAGTATGTGGCTTGCTCCAATCTTAGTTGCTGTTCCCTGCTCCCTTACTAGGATAGATGTAGCAATATGGCTGACAGCCATCTTTGCTAGGGTTGGAAAGGATGGACATTGCCATGTGACCTCACTCCTATCTTGATAAAAGTGACCACATGACATAAACCATCCAAGGAAAAACAACTCCTAGCTGTGAGGTCCAAACCAGATGATTCTTCCACTGTTTTCAGTCACACTAACAAGCCTCCACAAACAGTAACTTCTTTTCATCTCCAGTCTCTCTGGCTTCTCTTTTCCCCTTTTCAGCAATAGGCTGCCCACCGAGGGCTGAAGCAGTCCCTGACCAGGACCCTGAATGGACAATACCCCAGGGGCCTCCTTGCTGGCCACCCTTAAAGAGGTAAATTATGAAAAACTCCAAAAGGTCACCCAGGACGAACATTAGAACCCATCTCAATTCCTAGACTGGGCCCAGGCCTGTCTGATCCCTCACAAACCACCCAGACCAGGTCCAAGGTGCTGATATCCTGGCTTCTCCCTCGCCCTGGGTCCTGAGCAACCTGGCCCTGTTCCTGCACCCAACTCCTCTCCTCCCATCCCAGTGGTTTCTCCTCAGCACCTGCCTGTCACTCCACACCAGCCCTCTCCTGGTATCCAAGTTCTTAGGGAACCTTTCCTGGTCATGGGACCTCTCTAATCCTCAGGCTCTTTCCCCACCAGAGATCACTCTTCTCCAGGCTACCATCCCTCTCCCCGGTATCCATCTTTGACAGGTGATCTCTCCTCACTGACAGCTGTCAAAGGTTGCATGGCTGTGTTGTGCATGCGTTAGGTGGCTGTATAAGGGCTCTGCATGCAGGAACCATGTGGATCTGGGGCAGAACAGAGCTGGACCAATGGCAGCTCTATGACTCCAGTTTCAATGGCCCCAACTGCTGAGACTCATTGTAAGCCATTCCCGTTCCCTATTTAAGCAAACACCTCCTGGCCTGTTCTCTCTTCATTTTCTTCTTTCCATTCCTGCTCCCCTATCTTTGTTCCCTTTCCCAATAAACCCTATGTGGGATTGTTGAATTTGTGTTTCATTGCCTGTAGCTGCAGCAAAGAACAACACAAGGTGCCATCAAGAAGGGTATTGTGGTGTTGACTGCCCCATGTCCTTTGTGGGACCATCAAGCCCAGGTGGCCCTTCAGCTGACCACCTAGATCTGACCATGGACAAGTGAAGGGGCCTAGGCTCCCTTGGCCTAACCACAGCCATCTCTCACTGGGAGCCTCAGGTCGACATACATCACAGTATCAAGGCAATTTGTCTTTCTCCTTCTGGACACTGGGTCCACCTACTTAGTCCTGATAGAGTTTTAAGGGCCTGCATCTTCTTGTTCCCCCTATTGTCAGATTAGGGTGGCAGCTTTACCAGCCTCATCAAACCCCACCAAATATATCACCCAGGCTCAATACCCACTCTCTCTCCATAGCTTCAAGGCACTTAAACCTCTTATAACTGACCTTTTAAGAATTTTCTACACCCTTTGGGCTACCCACTATGTGAGCATAGTCCCTGCAACACCCTTTGGGGCCCCATCACATGTGTAATTCTTACAAAGACACTTGCAATTCTCCAGCTATTTTCTCCTCTACCTGTGCTAACCACTTGTCTCCCTTTCTCCTGGGTAAGTGTCACTACAGAGCTCCCTACTTTATTTTTACTACGAAAGTCACACCGGTGTTCCAGGATACCTTTCCCATCAGAACTATAGGTATTCCTTGGCTTCTGACTGCCAGGATATCTTTCTGTCAGAGCTGTAACACTTACATTTTGGTGCCTAAATCCAGTACTGACTACTTCCCTAACTATTTGCCATCAGTTTTCCCCAGTTCATCCAGGATCTCCAATGGCTCAGATCATCCTTATCCTCCAGGGCTAAATAGACTCACTGGGCCACCATAAATGCTACAAACCCGGCGAGGATTAGATTCACTAACATCGGAAAGAGGTGGTCTTTGTCTCTTCTTCAGGGAGGAATGTTTCTTCAATGCCAACTGGTCAGGTATAGCAAAGGACAAGAGCTGACAACTCCAGCTAGATCTCCAAAAATGTAAGAAACAGCTCCATGCCTCTGGCTAGTGGCTCATTGACAGTCCAATATGGAATTGGATACTACACTTTTTAACCTCCTTTCTTCTGCTTTTCTTAATTCTACTAGTTGCACCCTGCTTCATAAACTTCTTGTCTAGATTTCAACAACATATTCAAAAGATCTCTAACCAGACATTTAATCAGTTGCTGTTACAAGATTACTGGCCCCTAGCTACAGAACCAGAGACCAGCAACAACAAATTATACCTTGATAGTGAAGATCAAGTTTGCCCAAAGGACTTTGACACCTGATTCAACAGGAAGTAGTCTAATGATAACATTGCCCCTTTATCAATAATAAATAAAAAGGAGGGGATGTAAGCCCTTCCAGTTACACCAGTGGCAGGCCCCTCCCCAGGACCTCTAACTGCCAGCTTCCCCCACAGGACACTCTTTTTTCCCTTCATTTTTAAATTTAAATTAGAAGCAAGATTCTTTTCCATTTCAATTCCAGTTCCCTCTCCCTCCCCTTCTCCCCTGCCCCCCACTAACACCCTACCTATCCCATACCATTTCTGCTCTCCAGGGAGGGTGAGGCCTTCCATGAGGGGTGTCTTCAGAGTCTGTCATAGCCTTTCCAATAGGGCCTAGGCCCTCCCCCATGTGTCTAGGCTGAGGGAGTATCCCTTTATGTGAAATGGGCTCCCAAAGTCTATTCCTATGCTATGGATAAGAACTTATCTACTACAAGAGGCCCCATAGATTTCCCAAGCCTCCTCACTGATATCCACATTCATGGGGTCTGGATCCCACAGACTGCCCTAATTCCTGGACCCTACCTAAACCCTACAGAGCAAAAAGCCCAGTCTCTGGATATGAGATCCCACCAATCTCTACCCTGGAAAGCTCCATCCTGAAAAGTTCCACCCCCTTCCCAAAAAACTCTATATAAACCCTGTATTTTGTTCAGTTTGCTATTTCTCACCAGAGCAGAGGCAGTCATCCTCCTGGTTTTTTCCCTCCCAATAAATCTCTTGTGTGAAGTTTGAAGTGTGGTGTGGACAGTGGTATTCCTTGGCTCCCTGCTGCCAGGATACCCTTCCATCCTAGCTGTAAGGCTCACATTATGGATTAGGCAGTTTAAAGAAAACACTAGCAAAAGAGAATTTTTTCTGAAATGCTAAAATAGTGTACTATAAGTTTTATTATGGTTAGTAGCTATTAAGTATGTTGATTTTGAGTCACTAGGATGAAAAACAAGAGGACTATATAATAAACCATCATCAGAGAAGTAAAGTTTTGCGTGGGTCAAAGGTGACAGGGCACAAATGGGTTTCAGATAACTTCTGTTAAGCCCCAAAATGATGTTAATGAAACAAATGTATCAAATGAATTATGGCATTGATACAATACTATGGCATGAATAAACCTGAAAATACGCCAAGTGAAGGAAGCCTGTCAGGAAAGTGATATAGTAGGACTCTACTGACCTGTGTCTAGAATAGACAAATCAGTAGCAAGAGGAAGTTGACTTGTTGTTGCATAGGACTGAAATACTTTGTTGATGCAGATATCTACAGTGTATGTCTTTGGGAGTGTGAGAAAGTATTTTGATTGGTACCTCAAAGATGGCTTGGTACATACAGGCACTTGTCTCCAACGTTGGTGGCCCGAGTTCAATCCAGAGGTCCCACATGGTGGAAGGTGAGAACTGACTCCCCGTGTTTCCTGGACTCCACAAAGGAAAGAAGTGAGGAACAGAGGGAGAAGGAAAGGTAATTTTTGTTTTGTTTTGGTTTTGGTTTTTGGAGACAGGGTTTCTCTGTGTAACAGCCCTGGCTGTCCTGGAACCTGCTCTATAGACCAGGCTGGTCTCAAACTCAGAAATTCACCTGCCTCTGTCTCCTGTGTGCTAGGATTAAAGGTGTATGCCACCACTGCCTGGCTTTTTGTTGTTCTAATTCATTGTAATGATGGTTACTTAACTTGAGAGGAGAACAGTGTATTACATGTTTAGTGAATGGATTATATAGTGATTTATATATTAGGTAAAACTGGTTTGTATTGTTACATTTTTAAAGACTTTATTTATTTATTATGTATACAACATTCTGCTTCCATGTATATCTTCGTACCAGAAGAAGGTACCAGATCTCATAACGGATGGTTGTGAGCCACCATGTGGTTGCTGGGAATTGAACTCAGGACCTCTGGAAGAGCAGTCGGTGCGCTTAACCTCTGAGCCATCTCTCCAGCCCCGTATTGTTACATTTTTGAGACAGATCTTATTGTATTATACAGGCTGGGGTATCCATTCTTACTATTAGTATCCACCATTATATTGGCCTAACAATGTAATATAACAAGAAAAAAAAAGGCACACAGAATGAAAAAGGAGATAAATTCATCTTTATTTGAAGATAACATGGTTTAAAGAACCTGTTTTTTTTTTTTTTTAAAAAGCTGCTGAAGGTGGTGAGTAGATTAAACTACTATATGGCATAAGGCATACTCAAAAAATTAATTACATTTCTATATATTAGCACTTGAAAACTGAATTTAGCTAGGCATGGTGGTTCATGTCTGTCATAATAGCACTAAGCAAACTGAGGCAGGAGGACTGACCTGAGTTCAAGGCCAGTTGAGTTACCCCAGCTGGACAAAAAGGGGAAAGCTGAAAATTTAAAGATATCTAGAATAGTATCAATAATACAAAATGCTTATGATAAGTTAAAGAAAATTTTGCCTGCAAATATTATACACTGGCTGGGCGTTGGTGGCGCACGCCTTTAATCCCAGCACTAGGGAGGCAGAGGCAGGCAGATCTCTGTGAGTTCAAGGCCAACCTGGTCTCCAGAGTGAGTGCCGGGACAGGCTCCAAAGCTACACAGAGAAACCCTGTCTCAAAAAAAAAAATTATACACTGAAGTCTATAAAATACTGCTGACAAAAACAAAAGTCCTAAAAAAACAAAACAAAACAGGAGCAGTGGGTAAGAATGATATTGCAGTTCTTCACCCAACTGTCTTTGTGAAGATAAAGTAACTTCATTTTACATGAGAAGTTTTGTAAATAGCTAATTCTATTGCTTGATATTGATTAGTCATTCATGACTGTAGTTTTCCTGCAAGAAAGCAATGACTGAAATAAAGGCTTAAAGAAAAAAACTGAAAAAAGAAAAACCCACAATATATTAGGATGCCACTTAATGAAACTTGTCCTTGATTGGTTAGTTGTTTTAATTACAATTTCAAGTCTTATAGATACAGAAATTCTACTTTTCCAGAACAAACACATGTGTCCTTATAAGACAATGGAGAAGACAACAGAACTTTAACTGCTGAGCTTTTCACTTCTGAGAAGAGTCAGTGTTTTTGCTCTTTGTCTTTCATAGTCTGGAATTCATCTGGGTCATCAGCTTCTCCAACTTGATTGCCAGAGCCATGTTTCCTTTAATCTTCAGTTTTCCCGACATGAATGCCATGGTTGGCTTTAGTTTCCCTAAAATGAGAAATAAGATAGAGAACGAAGCATTAGTGCCCTTAGGGGTATGCCACTTCAAGAACATGCATTCTAAGAAGAATTTCCCAGAGTTATATAAATCTTAGAGCACAGAAATTTCTGTTACAGCATTGCATATGACTATCCAGGGAATCTCAGTTCCTGACTTGGATGCTAACAATATCTTATCATACAAAAGATAAAGTAAGAAACAGTCTGGAGAAAGTAATGTCAAAAAGCTAAAGATGCTACATTTACACATATGGTGGTTACAGCACTCTAAAGAAATGTAGCAGCCAGATGAATTCTGATAAGTAAATACTATGTAATTTTACAATCTGTTATAGTTCATTAAACTCTAACAATTTCAACTTTAAATTCAAGAAATCAAATGGTACAAAAAATTTATAAAATGTTTACAAATGATTATTAATATGGGCATGGCAACACACAACTTGTAACACCAGCACTTGGGGGCTGAGTCAAGAGGATCATAAGTTCAAAGCCAGACTGAGCTAAACTTTGGTGGTGTTGTGTCAAACAAACAACAACTAAGATCATTAAATATATAGTGTTTAGGAGCTGGGAGATGGCTCAGTGGGTAAAGTACCTGCTGCACAAGTGTGAGGACCTCAGTGCAAATCCTCAGAACCTTTGTAAAGCTGAGCACTGTAGTGCACACCTGTAATCTAGTGTTCCTACTTTGAGACGGGAGACAGATAGAATCCATGGAAGTTTATAGACAGCTAGCATGGCATATACAGCAATGAACAAAGACAGCCTGTTTAATGGTGGAAGGTGAGGAATACACCCAAAGTTGTTCTCTGACCTCTATGCATGCACAGTGGTACCCAAAATGTGTATTCAAATAAACATGCAAGCACACATACAGTAAAAATTTTTATTTTTAGTATATTGTACATAGGACTTTAGAAATGGCTCTGTGGTTAAGAACTTACACAGTTCTTTAAGAAGATTTGAGTGTATTTCCTCACACCCATGGGTCCAGTGGCTCACAAATGTCCATCACTCCAGTTCCAGAGGATCTGATGCTTCCAGTCTCTATTGTACACACATGGGCATGCACACATACAGGTGTGCACATGCACACACACACACCATACACACACATACACAGAAATGATTTTCTTTTTAAAGTATAGTGTTGTGGAATATTTGTGCACTGTGTGAAGATGAGCTGCTTTGATTGGTGTAATAAAGAAATAAAAAAAATAAAACTTAACAGCCAGTAGCTGGGGAGAAGAGTATAGGTGGGACTTCCAGGCAAAGAAAACTCTGGGAAGAAGAAGGGCAGTATTCACCAGAAGATATAGACAGGAAACAGAAGGTGTGGATGTCACCACATGGCAGAACGTAGATTAATATAAATGGGTTCATTTAAGTTATAAGAGCTAGTTGGGAACAAGCCTAAGCTCAGACTCAAGCTTTTATACTTAGTTATAAGTCTCTGTGTTGTTATTTGTGAACTGTCAGCCCAAAGAAAAATCCAACTACAGTACACTCTATGAACACAAAAGTACATTGGCATTTTTCTTTTCTTTTTCATATGTATTTATTATGTATAGTACTCTGTCTGCATGTTTGCCTGCATGCCAGAAGAGGGCACCAGATCTCATTATAAATGGTTGTGTGCCACCTTGTGGTTTGGTTTCTAAGAATTGAACTCAGGACCTCTAGAAGATAGTCCGTGCTCTTAATCTCTGAGCCATCTTTCCAGCCCCCAATGTTGGCACTTCTCAACCAGAGAAATGTAATCATTAAAAATAGAATTATAAGGTGAGAGGTGGCAGACGAATCTCTGAATTCTAGGCTAGCCTGGCCTATAGCGCAAATTCCAGGACAATCAGGGCTATACAGAGAAACCCTGTCTCAACATGCCCTTCTCCCCGTAGCTCTAACAAATAATATTAGCTCTGTAGAGAAAAGGACCTATGCTTTCCTTTCTACTATTAATTCAGTGTCAGTTCAATCTGGAGCAGAGGATAAACAGGAAAACTGAAGCTCAAAGTCACACAGCTTGTATACAACAGTGTTTCAGTTCTTAGCCAGGTATGCCCAACTAGCATTTATGACTTCCTTACGTTCTGACACTGCTCATATCTCCTAGAAGGCACAACATGTGCCTGGTACATTAGTGGCTATCCCAACTCTCACCTGTGACATATGCAGGTTCAAAATAAAGCAAAAAATGCAAAAAGTAATTTGATGTTAATAGGAAATGCAGGTGCAGAAGAAAAACCCTAAAATAATTTATGATGCTGGAGATTATTAACAATATATTAATAATAAATAACAATGTTGATGCTAGAGAGATGGCTCAGCCTAAGTTCAATACCCACAACCCACATAAAGGTTAAAGGTAAGAACAGGGTCTATAAAGTTGTCCTCTGACGTTCACAGGGCTGCCATAGTATGCATACCCATCCACCCATACACACACCTAACACAACTAAAGGGAAAAACTCAAAATGGACCACAGACCTAAATGTAAGAACTAAAAATTTAAAGTCTTATAAGAAAACACAGGGGAATTGTGGATTCAATGAGGCTGTCCCCTGTAGGCTCACACATTTGAACACCTGGTTCACAGTTAGGAGGTTATAGAACTCTGGAACTTCCTCTGCTAGAGGGAGCAGACCATTGCAAGGAGGCTTTGAGAATTTACAGCCTTGTCCTATGTCCAGTTTGCTCTCTCTGTTTCTTATGTGCAGTTGAGATGTAATCACTCAGCTCTGTCCACCTGCTACCATGCTTCCCCCACTACTATGGATACTCCCTCTAGAACCATAAGATAAAGCAAACTCTGTGTTATGTAAGGTGCTTTGAGTCATTGCATTTTATCATGGCAACAGAGAAAGTCTTTATACCTTAAGTTTGGCAGGGAGTCTTAGATATAACACTAAAGCATAAACAACAACAAAAAGATAAAATTTATATTCCTACCAAAGAAATTTGTTTTGGCTTTTGGTTTTTGTTTGTTTGTTTGTTTGTTTGTTTGTTTGTTTTTCAAGACAGGGTTTCTCTGTAAAACAGTCCTGGCTGTCCTGGACTTGCTCTGTAAACCAAATTGGCCTTAAACTCAGAGAGATCCGCCTGCCTCTGCCTCCCAAGTGTTGGGATTAAAGATGTGTGCCACCACCACCCAGCTTCCTACCAAATTTTTTTAAAAATTACTTCAAAAGGTATCATCAAGAAAGTGAATGAGGGGTGGGAGAGATGGCTCAGAGGTTAAGAGCACTAACTGCTCTTCCAGAGGTCCAGAGTTCAATTCCCAGCAAACCATATGGCAGCTCACAACCATCTATAATGAGATCTGATGCCCTTGTTGGCATGCAGGCAAACATGCAGACTCATATACATAAAAATACTCATATATGTAAATAAATAAATCTTTCTTAAAAAGAAGAGAGTAATAAAGCAGAAGAAAGTATTTGCGTATAATATACCCAGAAATCTAAAAATAATTCTTGCCAAGCAGTGAAGGCACATGCATTAAATCCCAGCACTTGGGAGGCAGAGACAGGAGGATCTCTGAGTTCAAGGCCAATCTGGTCTACAAAGCTACACAGTGAAACCCTGTCTCGAAAAACCATAAAAAAATAAAAATCTATGATTCATATTTAGGCTGGGGCATGGTGGTACACACCTTTAATCCCAGCACTCAGGAGGCAGATGCTGCAGGATCTCTGTGAGTTCAATGTCAGTGTGGTTTACATTGCAAGTTCTGGGGCAGCCAGGAATGCACAGAGACCCTGTCTCAAAAATCAAAAATAAAGCCAGGCTGTGGTGGTACACACCTTTAATTTCAGCTCTCTGGAGGCAGAAGCAGATGGATCTCTATGAGTTTAAGGCCAGCCTGGTCTACAGAGCAAGTTCCAAAACAGCTGAGACTACCCACAGAAACTCTGTCTCAAAAATAAAAACAGAAACAAAAACAAAAGAATTTACTAAACAATACTATTTAGTCTCTAGTAGAAAATAGTATTTGATACACCAAACAACTACAAATGACGAAAAGCAAAAGTTCATGAAGGTGTTATATGTACAATTTGAAAAGATCATCAAATATAATTTTGCTCTATAGGCATGTGTGTACATATGTATATATACATACACATGGACATAAATAACCCAAATTAATTGATGGTCATCTTTCAATAATATAGTAAAAAAAATAATTGTAGGGTTTCTTTTTAGGCACTTTTTCTAATTTTTGTTCAATGAACACTTAATACTACTACAAAAGTTAAACAGGGTTGGGAGATGATTTGGTGGTGAAGAGTTCTTGCTGCATAAGCTAGAGAACCTGAGTTTAAATCCCTAACACCTGTGTAAAGAGCTCAGCATGTCTACGCACATGCCTGTAACTCCAGAGCTGTGAGGATCTGAGATAGGAGGATTTCTGGGGTTTGCTAGCTGGCAGCCAAGCTCCAGTTTCAGGAGAGACCCTGTTAGAAGGGAATATGGAAGAGCGTGATAGGGCATGGCACCAGATATCCTCATTTGACCTCTACATGTGTGTATAGGCTTGGGCACTTGCACCTGTACACATATGCATAAAGACCACACACAATAGTTAAACTTTGATCACTGAGTCCATACACAATATAGCCTGACCAGCATCCTTTATTAGAACTAGAAAACAGAACTTGGAGGGCACAGAATATGCTGATACTATTTAACAAGATTTAAAAAGAACAAACATATGAGTAACACTTTATAACTCATTACATGAAAGATTTTTTTGTTTTGTTTTGTTTTGTTTTTCGAGACAGGATTTCTCTGTATTGTTTTGGATCCTGTCCTGGAGCTCGCTCTGTAGATCAGGCTGGCCTCCAACTCACAGAGATCTGCCTGCCTCTGCCTACCCAGTGCTGAGACTAAAGGCGTGTGCCACCAACGCCCAGCTACATGAAAGATTTTTACATTTGAATATTATAATGCCTTAATTGAGAATGCTGTTCCTAATTTTTTAGAGTCTGTGTTAACTTACCACTTTGGGTAGTAATCTAAGAGAAGGAAGTAGAACAAATCACTCTTAAAATTATTTTTGGCACTTTTGGAGCTAACTGGGCAGAACATAAAATCATGCAAAGGGTTCCCTGGAATAGAGATCCTGCAAAAGCAGGACACTGGGACACAAGAAAGAACTGGCTCCTGGCTCCTTTGCAGCATCTGGTGAGACTGACACATGACTTGACTTTAATAAGTGAGCTATTACTGATTTCTGAACCTGCATCAACTACGCTTTGAAACTACAGTACCTTAGTTCAGGTAGAATGGAGCCTACTTAGTAATCCTTTTTATTTATCTCTTTGTTCCCAACATCACATTATTAGCTTCTCAGTGATGAAAAGGAAAGATCTACCAATTTTCCACTTGTCAGATGAGGTAGCAGTGGCAGCAAAGGCAACCTAAGACAGCCTTCCCAAGACTATACGCTTGTCAGCATATTAAATATTAATATATTAAATAGACAGCACCCACTATTAGGAATTTCTGACCCTTGATTATCCAGAAAAAGAGAAAGGAGAATATTTAAAAATTTCCATTTAAAACAAGTGAACTAAGAGAGTTGAAAAGTTACCTGAAAACATTTTGACAAAATCATCAGTGGTCATACTCATCACCACGTCTGCCCGCTCGGAGGACTCTCCATGTCCAACTTTCCCACCCTTACTCTTCAGATCAAGAAACCATGTACCACCATCTTCACCTGCACAGATAAATATGTGGAAATAAGTATAATCATTCCTACAGTTTTAACAGTCTTCTAACATGCTGCCCTTGGTTCAAATCCTCAGGCTACCATCAAACTCAGCACTTACTATCTAGGTTCTGAAGACCAATAACAAAAAGAAAAGTCGGGTTATTCTCCAAAGAGGAAACTGAGATAATGTATGTGTTAATAGACAGCAAAGCTGGAGTAGTGGAATTCACACAGAAGTTACAACAGTGGTTAAGTGGAGCTGGAGTGAAGGAAGTAGCTTAATACAACACTTCAGTTTGGAGATGGATGGTAGTGAAGAAAACAAAGGCTGTTGAGGAAGCCTAGGAAAGGAGGTGTTTCTAGAAGGAAAAAGGAGTCAACAGCCTCAGAAACTGCATAGGAGTTATAGGGAGAGGTGACAAATACCCTCTGATGGCACAGCCATCATCTGGGACTGTGATAAAAACAAATTCTGTAGAGCAAAAAGAAAAATCGGAGGGACTATGTTCAATAAAGTAAGCTGCAGGTAAAAGAAAGTATGGCTCTGAAAGAGAAAGACAGGGTGCATGGTTTGGGATTATTGTTACCTTTTGTTTTAACAACAGATTATAGTTGAGAACATTAAAATAACTGCAGAAAAGGAGGCTGCAGGGTGCACACATTGAAGAAGAGGCACAGTAGCAGAATGATTCCTGAGAAGGCCAGAGAAAATGGGACCCAGACATCTGGCACTACTAGTGTCATCTAGGAATTACTTTACTGTCACCATCTGTCGAAAATGAAAATACTCAGATGTCCCTCTATCTACTGGATCAAACTCTCCATCTGAGGAAGAGTCTAGGTACAGTTGTTAATCAAGCTCGGGATGCTCTGATGGAGAACTAAGCTCTGTTCCACTGGGAGAACAGGAGGGCCCATGATGGCTGATTTACATCTGATGTCAGGAACTGGCAACAGAAGTCTAAAGTGCTGTTTAGACCGATCTCAAGAGGGAAAATAAATGAATCCCTACAAGTCCAATGGATGTTATTGTTTTGATTTTTGTCTAACAAGATTGGGCAGCTTTGATGCAATTCTGGGTTAACCAGATAGTTAGATTCATCCAGAACTAGCCTTTGATAGCTAGATCATGAAATACAGAATATCAGAAAAAAAAAAGGCTGAAGCAACAGACCATGAGTTCATAAACAAAAAGGAAGTTAAAAAGAAGGGTAGATTAAGATATGGCAGAGAACAGCACAAAGAATGACAAAGTTTGCATATAGTGGAACTAAAGTAGTTCTTAAAACTACCATTAACCTGTGTTACTTTTATTATATAGGAAAACATGTAAAGAGTTGTTGATTTGGTTTTTAGATACAGGATTTCTCTGTGTAGCCCAGGCTGTCCTGGAACACACTCTGTAGACCAGGATCTCAAACTCAGAGATCCACATGCCTCTGCCTCCCAAGTTCTGGAATTAAAGGAGTGCACCACCACTGCCTACACTGGTTCATGTGTAGGGCTTTTCATACTGTATTCATACTGACCTAAGTCAAAAATAAATATGGTCTGCTGCCCACAACTGATAAATTATTATATTACATAGAAAGCATTTCTATGCCAAGGAGTTGTTTTAACACTGAAAGTATATGCCATAGAAATGTTTTTTCCATTAAAACAAATCTAACTAAAAAACAAATCGATAGCTATTTGCTGTTTGAGTGTCTATATTCAATACTCCTAGATACAGCTAACGATCCAGGTACCAAAGGCTGGTTTTCTTCCCACTGTTTCATAAAAGCCCTGGGTCACCTGACACAATTTTCACCTGAGAGTTCAAACTGATAGACTGCTTGTGTGGCTTTAACGACATCATCACTGAGCGAGTCCTTAAGAATTCTAAATGTTTCTTCCACAGCTCCAAAATGTGGTGGTGGCTGTGGCTGTGGCTGTGGTGGTGGCTGTGGCTGCAGTAGTGGTGATGGCTGTGGCTGTGGTGGTGGCTGTGGCTGCAGTTGTGGTGGTGGCTGTGGCTGCAGTTGTGGTGATGGCTGTGGCTGCAGTTGTGGTGATGGCTGTGGCTGCAGTTGTGGTGGTGGCTGCTGCTGTGGCTTTTCTTCTTTTACTTCTGGTACAAAATCTGGAAAATATAATTTACATAAACATTGTTAAGGCCTTGGCAATGTAAGGCCAAACACACAATTAAAGCAAGACAGACTTGCTACCAAATAGCCCCATTTGACCAAATGATTTTAAATGCATTAAGTGGCCTGTAGAAGCATAAATCTAAGTGATGGGAAAAGCAGCCAACCATGTCAGTTATGGCCGTGAATACTAAGAAGCCATCTCTTAAGTAAAAGGCTGGCTTTTAAAGCAGGTTACCAACAACCAAACCAAGCAAAGATGCTACTAAACAATATAATGTTCACACAAAGTAACTGCAATTTAAAGGATATTAATCACCCTTTTGGATGGTTCATCTGAGCTATAAAACCAAATGAGAAAAAAAGATACCATGGTATGAAAGATGGAGATCTACAGAAGTAACCAAGTAAATTAGTAGCCAAGAACATATTACTTTGTAAGTAAAAATGTATTCACCTAATCCTTGCCTCACATACTGAACCTAGGTTCCATCTCTAAATCTTATAGGTGACAGGAGATAATCACCTCCCAAGATATCTCCCACTTCCACATGTGTGCCATCCAACACAGGCACCCATGTGTTGCATGTACACACACACACACACACACACACACACACACACACACACACACACACACACACTACCTAGAGCCACAATCAACTGGATTGAATCTAGGAAGTAACTCTAGAGTACACAGTCCTGCTTGTGCTTTGGCTCAAGAGAAATTTCAAAGCAGGAACAGCTCAACCTATTTAAACAAAGGAGAAAGGCATACACATATTTAAACCTCTGGATTAGAGTCTGAGCTTATCCTTCTGTTTGACAGATGCTGCTTTTTAAGAATGACTCACTAATAATATTCTTCCTTCTCATCTTTTAACTCCGACTTCAAAGCTTAAAGCTTCCAAAGGAGAAGAGCAGAAAGTAGAGGAGGGGGAGTTCTATGGAGGTGGGACAAGTCTGTTGGAAGAGAGCTGTAGATGGGAGATTCTATGGGAAAGGGGACCTGTGGTGAACCCCATAGTAAGGGAAAGAATTCTGTAGTGCTACATCATGGAAAGTACATGCCCACAGCTCGGCTGATAAAAATGGGGAAGACAGGGACTAGAGAGATGGCTCAGCAGTTGATTTTCCACAGGACCTGGGTTGGGTTCTCAGCACCCACATGGTGGTTCACAATCATCTGTAACTTCAGTTCCAAGGGATCAAATTCTCTATTCTGGTCTCAGCAGGTACCAGGTACACACATGGTATATATACATGCAGGTAAGTAGGTAGGTAAAGACTCATTCACATAAATGGGAAAGGCAAGAAGAGGATTTTTCTTAGCAGAGGTGAAGACGGGCCTACATTTGGCCTTGTACCATGGTCCTAGCTGACAATCGGCAGAGAAAGGAATTCATTATGAGGGCAGAGTAAAGCAAAAGCAATGAATATGTCCCTGCCATCTCATTAAACTAGTTCCAGGATAGCTCCTATAAGAGAACAGATTAACAAGAAAGAAACAATAACCCAATGCTGTCAAAACAGTATCACACTGGGGTAGGAGTAAATTATGCTGAAAAAAAAATCCAAAGTCTATTTATACAATCAGCTTACTACAAAACTCAAAAATTCCTTCACATGAAAGCTATACTTATGATGTGTTGGTCTCAACTGTAATACACACACCACCATGGAAGAGGATGGGGCACTGCATCAGGCATAGGGTATAGTTGGCCATCTAGCACCTTCCTCTGTTTTTGTTGTGATCCTAAAGTTTCTGTGAAACCTCAGGTGTTACAGACACATTGTGTGAAATGGGTGCAGGAAACCATGCATCACTTGCTTAGTGAAACAAGAGGATAAAGTGCAAAAGCACATCTGAAGCTAGAAACTCGAGAAACAAAAGTACAACAGGGACTGTTCTTAATGTAGACAACTGAACAGAAATCAAACTCTAGCCCGGCAGTGGTGGCACATGCCTTTAATCCCAGAACTTGGAAGACAGAGGCAGGTGAATCTGAGTTAGAGGGCAGCCTGGCTTACAGAACAAGTTCTAGAACAGCCAGGGCTACACAGAGAAATCCTGTTTCAAAAAACCAATAAAAGATAAAAATAAGACTGAAGAATCTTGACAGATTACTCTCTATAATACTGACAGGGTTTTCCAAATACAGAAGAAAAAATGCAAAACGATGGACTAATGAAGGGTGCTGACAGCTATAGGGAAAGAGGGAGGACAGCAAAGCTAGGAATGCATAGTTGTGAGAACTCAGAGCAACTGAACACAAGCAACCAAAACTATAACTAAATAAAAACAAACTAGAAAAGACTAAGTAGGCTCCCTGTGTTCCAGCAGGGAGCAGAGATAAAGAACAACAACAAAATGGCAACAATGTGTTTATGATAAAAAGTAAAACTCCATTAATTTAAAGCCATGTCTCTCCTTTCCCACTTCTCTATAACATACATAAATTTGTAACAGCTATATGTGTATATATATATATATATTATATATAATATATGACTGTATATGTATAATACACATGTGTGTTAATTTACATCATATATATGTACATATACAGATATGTAAATTAATATACCCAGAAAAAATTCCAGAAGAGGTACAGCCAAATGTTAACATGGGCTGTTATCAGTAGTGGATTCAAAAGAAATGTGAATCTCACCAGGAAAATGATGGCTACATACTGCGCCTTTTGAGTTAAAATACACAGTAAACATGCAATAGATTAGATATGCGCATAAAAAGCCATTTGGCAAAGGTAAGTTCCACCCCAGGCCAGATATGCTAACCACTACCTGTGTAAGTACTCCACCATGTCTATAGATGTCCATATACTGTTAGTGATGACCCCGGAGAGGACAGGCAAAGAGAGCTGTGGAACTAAATTCTCCACTGTGTGTCAAAGGACAGGAGTGTTCTGACCCCCAGGGTGAGAAGTAAGGGCCTTTTGGTAATAGAAATTGCTAATGACAAATCCACCACCAAAGCCTAATGTCAATGTCTTACTCCACTCTTTTAACCCCTCTTGTTCTGACTCCACAATCACAAATGACCTTCTTCTAACTGATATTATTCGTCATGTAATTATGCCCAAAGGGAGAGAATGTGCTGAACATAGCAACTACATATTTAGTCTCTGTGGCAACTCCTCATTATAAATTAATATATGGCACTACTGGGGAACTTTTAACATTTTAAAGGACTTTTAAGTATTCAGACTTTAGGAACACCAGTTAAGTAAACTGGTTACAGACACAGGCTTTGGAATTAGAAAAACATGAATCTGAATCCTGGTCCTGTCACCTGCCACTCATGTGACCACAGCTCTGGGTCAGGTCCTCAGCATTGAACAATGCATGGAAAAGAAAAAGCTGCCACAGCATTTAGCACACAGCAGGCATATAATGAACCTAAGATAACCAACTAAATGGTTCTTATTTGAAATTGAGGATATAGGTAAACTCAGTTAATGTGTTTCCTGCCAGAAGACGGATCCAGTCTTAGGGTGATGGGACAAAAACAGGATTTGGGGTCCCTTGCCTTGATGACCAGACTCAAGGATTTTCTAAGAGTTCTGGGTGATTCTGCCATTCTGTAAGAAACCTTTTTGAGAAAAACAATGGTGATCTGGTTTCCTAGGTTTTTCCCTCCTGGTGAATCATGGATCTAACTTTTAAACCAACAGTCAAGGAAAAGAAATAAAACTTGGGGACAGCTACAAAAACAAAACAAAAGTCTTTCTAGATTTTATATAACTATGTTTAAATTACAGAATAGTTTAGAGCAGTAGTTCTCAACCAAGGGTTGCAACCCCTTTGGAGGGTCAAACAACCCTTTGATAGGTGTCCCATATCAGATACCCTGCATATCAGATATTTACATTATGATTTATAACAGTACAAAAATTACAGTTTTGAAATAGCAATGAAAATTATTTTATGGTTGGGGTCACAGCATTAGGAAGGGTGAGAACAACTCACTGGTTTAGAGGCAGAGTGCAAAACCATCATTGCTACAGTAGCAACTATATGTTTTACAAGAAACAGTTAGTGTTTGTATTTTCCTATTTAAAATATGGTTTTCCCAGACATGATGGTACATGCCTTCAATCCCAGCACTTAGGAGATAGAGATAGGTGGATCTCTAGGAATTCAAGGTCAGCCAAGGTGTGTGTGTGTGTGTGTGTGTGTGTGTGTGTGTGTGTGTGTGTGTGTGTGTGTGTGTGTGTGTGTATTAGAATCTTGGTGCTAGAGAGAAAACTCAGCTCTTAGCAACACTGGCTACTTTTCCAGAGCACCCTGGTTCAATTTCCAGCATCCATATGGCAGCTTACAACCATCTCTAACTCTAGTCCACTTGGGGATCCAACACCTTCTTCTGGCCTCTGCAGCACCAGATATGCATATGGTATATAGACATACAGGCAGACAACATCCCCACACACATAAAAAAATAATAAAACAAAGTTAGACTCTTACCATGTGATATTGTTTCCTCTATAACTGCATCTGGGAATTCATCTAAGAAGAAATCTGGTATCAAGGGATGGCCTGAAAAATTAACCACCAAATAATAAGGTTGTAATAATTACATAAAAATGATTATAATATATTAAGATTTAACAATTTTAATACAATTCATATTTTTTTTTAAAAAAATCCTTTTGTGTCAATGGAAAGGGCCCCTAGATAACTTGAACTATTTGATCTAATTTATTAAATCATTTTTCTGAAGCTGGGTGTTGGTGGAGCACACCTTTAATCCTAGCACTCAGGAGGCAGAGGCAGGTGGATCTCTGTGAGTTCAAGACCAGTCTGGTCTACAAGAGCTAGTTCCAGGACAATCTTCAAAGCTACAGAGAAACCCTGTCTGGAAACCCCCCCCCAAAAATTATTTTTCTGTAATCCAGTTAGCCTCTTCTCCTATGACAAATTTCACCTTAAAATCTAATATTATTTATTTATTTGTTTGTTTGCTTTTGGTTTTTCACAACAGGGTTTCTTTGTGTAGCCTTGGCTGTCCTGGAACTCATTTTTTCTTTTGTTTGTTTGAGACATAGTCTCACTACGTAGGCCAGGCTAGCCTTGAACTCTGTTTCTGAAGTGCTTGGATTAAAGGCATGTACCACCTTACCTTGGGAGATCTGCCTCATCTCCTCTTTACTGAACTGTCCATTCAGTTCATTGGCCCATTTACTGACTGGGACACCTGAGGGGGTGTTTAAGGTTTGCAGTTCTTTATATTTTCCCAAGTATCATTTGTTGAAGAGGCTGCTTTTCCCCACTACCAATTTTTAAAAACTCTGTTAAAAGTTAGGTGACTGTAGCTATGTGGGTTTATCTCTGGATCATTCTATTCTACTTGATCACACATCAGCTTTTGTGCCAAAACCATAATGTCTTTGTCACTATTGTTCTGTAGTATAATTTGAAGTCAAGTGTTGGGATACCTCCAGCATGGTTCTGTTTTGGGCTGATTTGGCTATTGGGCTCTTTCATACTTCCCTATGGATTTTAGTACTGTACAGAGAGTTGAGGAAAGGAATGTGGTAAGAATATCAGTAAGAACAAACTACAGGAGGCAGGGAGGGAGGTAGGAAAAAGAGGAGGGAGAGGAGGAATGAGGAGGAGAACATGAGGGATCAGGAAGGTCGAGGTGGGGGAAGGACAGAGAAGGAGAGCAAGCAAAGAGATCCCTTAATAGAGGGAGCTATTATGGGCTTAACGAGAAGCCTGGCACTAAGGAAATTCCCAGGAATCAACAAGGATGACCCCAACTAAGAATCTAAGCAATAGTCGAGAGGCTACCTTAAATGCCCTTCCCCAATAAGATTGATGACTGACTACCTTAAATGCCATCATAGAGCCTTCATCCAGTAGCTGATGGAAGCAGAAGCAGAGATCCACAGCTAAACACTGATTCAAACTCCTGGAATCCAGTCTTAGAGAGGGAGGAGTGATGAGCAAAGGGGTAAAGACCATGCTGGGGAAACCCACAGAAACAGCTGACCTGACCAAGTGAGAACACATGGACCCCAGTCTGACAGCTGGGGAACCAGCATAAGACCAAACCAGGCCCCCTGAACATGGGTGTCAGTTGAGGGGCTTGGGCAGTCTATGGGGCCTCTGGCAGTGGAACCAGTATTTATCCCTAGTGCATGAATGGGCTTTGGGAGCCCATTCCCTAAGGAGGAATACTCTCTCAGCCTACAAACACAGGGGAGGGCCTAGGTCCTGCCCCAAATGATGGTCCCCCATGGGAGGCCTCACCCTCCCTGGGGAGTGGGCAGGAGGTGAGATATGGGGATGGGGGGAATGGGAGGGGTGGGAGAGGGAACTGGGATTGGTATGTAAAATAAGATTTTTTGTTTGTTTGTTTGTTTGTTTGAGACAGGGTTTCTCTGTGTAGCTCTGGAGCCTATCATGGCACTCTGTAGACCAGGCTGGACTCAAACTCACAGAGATCCACCTGCCTCTGCCTCCCCAGTTCTCGGATTAGAGGAATGAGCAACCATGCCAATCATATATATATGATTGTGTGTGTGTGTGTGTGTGTGTGTGTGTGTGTGTGTGTGTGTGTGTATTTATGAACATATTGAAGACAAAAAGAACCCTTATAAAATTTAAGTAGATAAGAAATTTAAGTGGGATGTTGATAAAGTAAGGTATACTGGTACCCAGGAAACTGATGCTAGAGATGTTGCTGAGGACCATAAAAGCTCATGATGTCTTCTAAACCAATGTTAACAACTTTCTAAATACAAGTAATTCCAACTCTGAAAACTGCTATTTTATAAATGTCCCACAGATGCTTGTTCCTGATCTTACAAAAATATTCTTTAGGTTCTTAAGAACATGTTATAAGCATACATAATCAATTTTGAAACATACTTCTCTTTCCATTTCTCTTTCACTCCTTTTAAAAATTTGTTTTTATCTCCACTATGACACCTTCACTCATTGGATTTGTGTTACATACTGAATCTAACTTGGCTGCTAAATAAAAAAAAAGGAGATTTAAACTATTTAGTAAAAAGTTCTAGGATGCAAATTATATTATTATATATTATATTTATTATATATTATATTATGTCCCAGCAGAGAATAGTTAAGCCTGGATTAACTCAGTGTACCTACCTAGCTTAATCCCCAGTGCCCCTCCTCTCCATGTCATCTTATACCAGGGCCACACCTCTGGCAAAAGCCTTCTACTGAACCGGAGGCCAGTACAGCATTCTGAACCACAGGTAAAGCTGTTTCCTAACATGCCCACACTTGACCAACAAACTTCAATTACCTCCCATCTCCTCCTCATCACATTCTGGCTCATACCACTGGCAGAAACCTTCTACCCAATCAGAGGCCAGGCCAGCATCCAAAACTCTATAGGTTCGAACAGCGTCATGAACCCTAGAGACTATTCCAACTGCATGAACATAAGGCAGAAGCCAGAAACTAGTGTAGGATTCTAAACCCCAGAGTACCCCCAGAAAGATCAGAGACCACACACATAGCCAGAACTCCAGACCCTCATTTGGGCAGCCCCCCCCTGCTGGATGAGTGGCCATCCAAGCCAATAGAAATCCACCTGCCCAGTGCAGGTGGAGACCCTCTACTCAACCACAGAACATGGCAGTCAATAGGCTGGAGAGAAAACAGAAACTAAAGAAAAAAAAAACAATCCAACAAAGACAAATCCAGAATCTGGTACTGAGACTTATAATCACTTGAAAAACAGATGCCTAAACATAAGTGTAAGAACACAAACAACAACAGAGCAATATGACACACCAGAGCCCAGCTAACTTAATACAGCAATCCCTGAATATTCCAATATAGCTGAAGCAGAAAAAAATGATCTTAAAATCAACTTTATGATGAAGAAAGAAGACATTAAAGAGGAGATGAATAAATTCCTTAAAGAAATTATGGGAAAGATGATCAAAAATCAATAAATCTCTTAAAGAATATCATTAAAACCAAGAAAAGAAAAAACAGTTCACAAAAAAGGAATACAACTGTTCAGGACCCGAAAATGGAAATAGAAGAAATAAAGAAAACACAGAAGGAATTCTGGAAATGTGACAGCTAGGTAAATGAGCAGGAATTACTGGCACCAGCATCAGAAAAAGAGTACAAGAGATAGAAGAGAGACTCTCAGATGATGAATACACAATAGAAGAAATAAATTCACTGGTCAAAGAAAATGTTGAATCTGAAAAATTTCTGACACAAAACATCCAGGAAATCTTAACACTGGGGAAAGGCCAAATGTAAGAAAAATAAGCACACAAAAAGTAGAAAATTTCCAGCTGAAAGATCCACAAAATATTTTTAACACAACCATAAA